CAAAGGCCGTAAATACGCATAATCCCCCTCGTTAACATGCTATTAAATCGCCGAGCCGTAAAGCGTCTCTAATCGTCCCCTAGAATCTCCAACGAATACGTCCTCCTTGAAGACTGCGAGCGGACTTGGCTACTGGGCGTCTGGGAGAGTCCGGCCCCTTGCTCTCTCTCTCCCGCAGCATCCTCGGCGACCTCGAGAAACCTAGCTCTCTGGGGCGTGTCTCTCCCGCCTTCCCCGCCTCTTTTCCCTCATCATCGAGACAGCCACCACGCCCACCTGTCAAGTCTGAGCCGCATCCAACACCGATTCCTTACCAACACGACGCGGTATTGACACAAAGTATCCTAAAAAAAAAAAAAAAAAAAAAAAAAAAAAAAGGGAAGCTGGACGCTGGCTCTATCAGGCCCAATGGCTCCTCCTCTCCCGGTGCTGGACGGCAGACTGACTTGCATATCGATAAATTCCATATTTCAGGCTGGCAATCAAACGTTTCAATCCAATTACGTCCGCCCTAACAACCCATTAATTCCCGCGGAGTTAACACGGCCGCCAATTTGCATCATCCGGCCGGCCAACAGTTTTGACAGATAAATAAGGGTTGGTTAGCGCGCTGCGCCCTGTCAGACGCCCGTCCCCCGTCTCCCTCGCCCTCGCCCGTCCCTGACATGCAACGGGGCCGGAGCAGCTTTCAAGCACACGAGGGGAAGTCCGGGGAGAGGGAGGGGCCGGGAGAGGGACCAGGACAGGAGCCGGGGGCGGGCAGGAGATGAGACCCAAGGCAGGAGGGACGGGGAAGAGGACGCGAGGACCAAAGGGAAGACGAAGGACGTCAAAAGTGTTGGACAACGAAGACGCGCGACATGTATTACCCATAATAGCTATTTTTACTCGATATTCACTGCGAACTAATAACGAATACAGTCCTTGTTTATCCCAGGAACCATCACTACCGCAGCCAAATAACGGCCAACTACCAGTTCCCAGCAGCCGAGGCACAGCACGTGTCTCGCCATCACAGAGACTCATACATTACTACAATCCCAAGTAATATACCTTACTATAACAATCACTTGACAGATTACTTAAGAAGAAGAACGCCAAGAACTCTAGACTTAAAAAAGTGGAGGCTGTATTCGGTCTGTCATAATGGAAAGGCTGCACAGCTAGGTCTTTAAACTCGCCGGGGAGGAGGAGCCTTGCCGGGGAGCTCCACCGCCCTGGTGCCTGCTGGCGGAGATTCGTGGGTAAAAGTGGAGGCAAGTTTGGGACATGCGGAGAAAGTTTTGCATAATTACTCAACTTGGCCAGATTAGCGTCTGGAAAACTGGCAAATGCGACGAACCTTGGCAAGTAGTCGACCTTCATTCACCCCAATTCTCCCACAGACAACATTTGCCAAAAAAAAATAAAAATAATAATAATAATAAATAAAGACCAACTGAACCCCCCCCCCCTCCCTTTCTTCTTCGCCAGCATTACCACAAACCAACCGGACAAAACAGACAACACTACCCAGTCACCCTCCCCCAGCACCAAAACACTTGAACGACTCTCCCCCTCGAAGTTAGATCTCACCCCCTCCTCGACGCCTCTAGGGGCCGCCCTGCCACCTCCCTTCCACCTCCCTTCCACCTCCTTGCCCTTGTGACGACGACACCTCCACTCTTGCCCTGACGACGACCACTCCACTCCCCTCGAGACGTCTCACTCAAGCGAGGCCTCCCACCTGAAAAGCGAAGAGCTCGATGCGTGTCCGCCAATCTTCACCCGGTCCCTCCCCGCGCCGGCTGAGGGCCCGACGCGACGTCCCCGGGGCCCAGGCTTATGCAGGCCCAATCAGCGATCAAGTTATGGCGGTGCAGGAAAAGAAAGTTACGCAACACGACGCTACGTCACACTTGATTATCTTGAAATTAATGCAACTTTAAGCCAATTAATTAACAGTAAACGAGAATCTTGAAGTTCCACGATTAAGTGCTCCCCGTGAACTACAATGAACAATAAAAAAGGAATGCGAAAAAAAAAAAAAAACTGAATGGCATTCTGTCTGCCATTCGGGTACAAATAGCAACATGTCATGCTGACGGCTACTCGGGCTGCTCTTAAACGCAAATCGATGACTGCGCGGGCACGACACACCCTCACGCACCAAAAACAAACCCGGAATCGCGTTCGTTACGAGCAGCGACCGCCGCAGCCGAACAATGGCTGGTCGGAGCGGAGCGGAACAAAGCCCGGCGGGTAATTGCACAGGGCCTACGCAAGGCCGGCGCCGCTTGCCAGAGCCTGGAGATGATCGCGCTCCCACGGTCTCCCTGCAGCGGGCCGGGAGAAAGGAGGAGGAGGGAGGAGGGAGGAGAGGAGAGGAGAGAGGGAGAGGGAGAGGGAGAGAGGGAGAGGGAGAAGGGAGAGAGAGGAGGAGGAGGAGAGAGAGAGAGAGAGAGAGAGCGAGCGAACGGGAGCGTGCGTGCCAAGTGTGTCTACGCGAGTGAAAGTGAGCGAGCGCGCGCGCCCGCGGCTCGCAAGGGCGCCGGGCGGCGGCCGTGCCGGAGTCGCGTGCGTCCACCTCGCGAGCGCCTCTAATCCCCCGGCCGCGGGTCCCTTCGCTCGCATGCAACACTCCGCGTCCCAGTTTTTGCGGCCTCGGACCCCTTCCCCGCGGCCCTGATTATATCATTTTAGTTTATCTACACCTCTTTTTTACGACGGCGATCGCATGTAATTACGCCCTGAATAATAAGGCCTGAGAGGTGTGTTTTGCCCGCCCGGGATAAGTACGTCAAGATTATAATCTGCGTTACGTAAGAGGTGTTAAACAAGGAGGCGAACCCGTCGGGCCTCGCCTCCTTAGCACGGGCGCCTCCGCACGAGCATCTCGCGGGGCACGGCAGTCTACCAGGGGCTCGGGAGGGAGGAGGGAGGGAGGGAGGGAGGGAGGGAGGGAGGAGGGAGGGGGGGTGGGGGTGAGAGGTGGAGAGAGGAGGGAGGAGGGAGGAGGGAGGGAGGGAGAGCGCCCCCTCGAATCCCCTTCCTTCCTCTCCCCAGGATCTTCAGGAAAGCCAAGGGTTCTCTCACTCCGCTTCCTCTTCGGGAGGGAGACGACCCGCGCGATAAAAGGGACGACATGCAGCAGCAGCAGCAGCAGCAGCGAGGCGGCGGCAGATTTTAAATTTAAGATTTTAGTTTAATTCCATTCGTTACAATGGATACTCTTGCTGTGACATGCTGTGTTTTTTTTGCCCAAGTCTCCCCCCTGTGCAAGGAGTGGCGCGCCACCACTCACTGCCGGCGTGGGACTGAACGCAGGTCCGCAAGATCGCAAGACCAGCGCCTTACCGCTGCGCCAGCACAGCACAGCAGCGGGGGATATGCAGCGGATCCGAAGCCCCGATTAATTCCTCGAGCGGCGCTTCCAGCCTCACACCGCGGGCTGCCGTCGGAGGCCGCCCCGCACACGCCCCCGCCCCCCCAACCAGAGCGATCTAATTAAGCTCCGAGGCCTCTATCATTCACACCCTCCCGCGTCTCGAGAAATCTCGCGCCCGCCTCCGCCCGGACGGGAAGACGGCGGGCGCTCCCTCTTCTTCTTCTTCTCCTTCTCTTCTCCTTCTCCCTCCTCCTCCTCCTCCATCTTCATCGACGCGCACCCCCTCTACCCTTCCCCCGCGGTCCTCGTTCCTATTCCATTCCCAGTCCCATTCCCAGCCCCCCACCCCACCCCCCCCCCGCATGAATACCAATTAAACGGCCAAACAACATGCACTCACCTCAGCTACCTCCTCTCCCTCCTCCGCCATGCACAGGGACCCCCCCTCCCCCCCCTCCCTTCCCCTCCCCCACTCTCCCAAAAAACCCCCTGCCAAACCCCTGCTAATCCAGCCGCCCACGCGCCTGCCCCCGCCCCAAGACAAAGAGAGAGAGAGCACGTGTGTTTACCTCTTGCGCCCCCCCCTCCCCCCCCCTTCCCTCCCCTCCCCCCCCCCCCTCCCCCTCCCCTTCCCCTCCCTTCCCCCTCCCCTCCCCCGCGCACCTATGACGGGCTCCGGCAACCGACAGTTTCTCAGCCAGTCAACAACTGTCAAAACACGCCCGCCCATCCCCGCCCGCGCCGGCCCCGGACCCGACCCGCGACCGGGGAAAATATTCAAATCAGTCCTCCACTTGCAAGTTAAATTTCCCGGAGTGGGTTCGTTCCGGCTATTGAACCGCGGAGGGAGAAAAGGGGTCAGGCTCCCCTCTCCCCTTCAGCGGTCCAACCTCTCCCTCATCCCCCTCCCCTCAGCGCCCCCCCCCCTCCCCTCAGCGCCCCTCCCCTCCCCTCAGCGCTCCCCCTCTCCCCTCCAGCGCTCCCCTCTCCCCTCAGCGCCCCCCCCCTCCCCTCAGCGCCCCTCCCCCTCCCCCCCTCCCCCTTCCCCTCCCCCTCTCCCCTCAGCGCCCCTCCCCCCTCTCCTCCTCCTCCCCCTCTCCCCGCCGAGGCCCCCTCTCCCCTCAGCGCCCCCCCACCCTCCCCCACCCCCCCCTCCGAGGCCCCCTCTCGCTCGCTCCTAATTTCATTTCCAGGCCGCTGTAACGGGCTTTACTTATAACGAGTAAACAGAGGAAAAACAGCGTGGATTAAACAAATAAAAAAAAACGATAAAAACTGACCACGGCAACAATGTGATCACAATCCCCATCAAAGAATATTCAACGAGGTATAATCATAATGATAACTGCAACAATAACAGCAGCAACAATTAAAAAAAAAAAACAGCAAAATAACAATGACAGTAATATAAGAAATATCATATTCTAGTCAGAAATCAATCAAATAGATCACCGTTTTATACCTTTTGTTTCTACAAAACCAGGAGAGTATAACAACAACAACAGTAAGTTATGCAAATAATGCTCATAAGTAATAACAATAACAATAACAATAATAACAACTATAACAACAATAACAATAATAATATAATGGAAAAACGATGATGACGATGACGATGACGATGACAATGACAATGACGATGACAATGACAGCAGTGGTGGCGTTGTCCCCCTCCCCAGTGCCCAGTGCCCGCCAAGTGCCACCACCGCCAGTGCCACCACCGCCAGTGCCACCACACCGCCAGTGCCGCCGCCGCCAGTGCCACACAGTGCCACCTCAGCCAGTGCCACCAGTGCCACCACCGCCAGTGCCACCAGTGCCCACCGCCAGTGTCAGCCATGCCACACAGTGTCACCACCGCCAGCCAGTGCCACCACCGCCGCCAGTGCCACCACCCCGCCGAGCATCCCTCCCCTCCGGACGCGGCCGTATCGCCGCCCCGATCTCCGCGCAAGAGATCGGGACACGCGTCGAGAGGAGCTTCCTCGTCGCGAATCCCTCGAATGGAAATGAAGTGGGGAAGCAGCGGCCACCAGGGGGGGAGGAGGGAGGAGGAGGAGGAAGAGGGAGGAGGGAAGAGAGGAGGAGGAGGAGGAGGAGGAGGAGGAGGAGGAGGAGAGGAGAGAGAGAGAGAAGAAGAAGAAGAAAGAAGAAGAAGAAGAAGAAGAAGAAGAAGAAGAAGAAGAAGAAGAAGAAAAGAAGAAGAAGAAGAAGAAGAAGAAGAAGAAGAGGGAGGAGAAAAAGGGAGGCGAGGAGGAGAAAGGAGGGGAAAAGCAGAGAAGAAGGGATGAGAGCAAGAAGGCGAGGACGAAGGTGAGAGGCGAGGAGGAGAAAAAAGGCAACGAAGGGAGAGGGGAGGCGGCTAAGACCGTTCGCAGGAGGGGAGGGGGGGGGGGAGGGGCAAGACGGAGACGCCGCCGGAGGGTGAAATTTCGTTTACACAGCAAGGAATCGATTTCGCGGAGTGCTGCTGCCTTCAATACGGCTCCTTGCCCCCCCCCCCCCCCCCCGCCTTTCGGCACATGCTTCCGCGCCCCGCAGCGCCTCTCCCGCCGGGCCGCAGCCAGCGCACCTCCGCCGGGGCCCGCGGCGTGCCTCGGTCCCGCCGTAAAGCAGCGCCGTTAAAAAATGATACGGGGCGGCTCGCCTCGTAATTCGGCCGTGAAACCCGCCGGCGCNTCCTCTATTCCTTCTTCCCATCTAGCCGAGGCACTAAAGAGAGGAGATATTCTCGATTCCCTCCACTACGCTGCGTCGCCAGTACCCCAGCTTGGCTGCTTGATATTTTTTTCCTTGCCACTTGTGAAGTCGACTCTGCACTTTTGGACGCCAAGCAGAAAGTACCCAACCGTTCACAGCTTCTTTTCGCCTCCCCTCTAGCCCTCCACCCCCCTCTATCCGCTCGTCTCCCTCTTCCTCGTCGCCCCCCACACATCCCCCCCACCACGCCGTACCCCTACGTATTACTTCCTCGTTCGCTTCGACTCCAGCGACTCGACAAACTCCTCACTCTCGCTTCAACCGGATATTGTCGAGCGCGACATCGGAAGCACGGACGGGGGGCCGGATGGGGGAAGAGGGAAGGGGGAGGCCGGAGGGGAGAAAGAGGGGAGAGGGAAAGGGGGGCCGGAGAGGAGAAGAGGGGGACGGGGAGAGGGAGAAAGGGAGAAAAAGAGAGGGATTTTGAGGGGAAGAAGGGGGAGAGATGCTATGTGCGAGGAAGGAGGAGGAGGAGGAGGAGGAGGAGGAGGAGGAGGAGGAGGAGGAGGAGGAGGAAGAAGAAGAAGAGGAGGGGCAGGAGGAGAGGAGGAGGAAGGCATGGAAGGGAAAGAGGATGAATAGAAGGAAACTGATAAGGAAGAGGAAGAAAGATAATGGAAGAAAGAGGACGAAAAGGAAGAGAGGGAAGAAAGGGGTAACCGGAGATGGGGAGGGGGGGAGGGAGTAGAAAAGGTGGGGAGAAACAACTGCGTTAAATCCGGTTATGAGCTGAGTATACTCTCATCGATGGAGGGGAAAAGAGGGAAGGGAGGAGAGGGGAGGATAGGGGAGGAGATGGGAGGGGGAAGGGGCTGAGGGAAGGAAAAGGAGGAAGGGAGAGGAAAAGGAGTGGTAGTAGGACCTAGTAATAAAATGTAAGGGCTGCAAGGTAGGGGTAGGTAGGGGGTCGTATGGGAAAAAAAAAAACATTTTAGCAGGAAAATTATTTCACAAGAAATTTAGCAGGAAAATTATTTCTAAGTATCCTTACGATACAAGGAAAGGGAAAAGAAGGATAACAGGAAGGAACAATGGAAAAGAGAAGGCAAGAGAAAGCGAAAAAAAAGTATTAATTAAAAAAATAATAATAATAATAATTAAAAACAAATTTAAAAATTGATAAATCAAAAACATTAAAAAATGAATGATAATAATCAATAAAAAGTTAAATAATTAATATAATAAATATAAGAAGAAGAAAGAAATAAATAACAGCAATAACAAACAATAGAAAAAAAACAGTAAACACGAAAAAAGGCACAAAGACAGCGAAGAGTCAGCGAAGGAAGCAAGCGACCCCAGGAAGCGCCCCGCCACAGGACCCCGCCACAGGACCCCCCAGGACCCGCCACAGGACCCCGCCACAGCCACAGGACCCCGCACAGGACCCCGCCAGCCACAGACCCCGCCACAGGACCCCCGCCAACCGCCACCGCCGCCGCAGAGAGCTCAGACACATAACTCCGCGCAGGAGAAGCAGGAGGGCCGAGGCAGGGCAACGCTCGTAAGCTTTCCGGCGCCATTCCGGACCGCCCGGACGTGGACTCCCGGCCCTCGTAAAGACTAAGGGGGGAGGGGGGGGGAGGGAGGGAGGAAGGGGAAGAGAGGGAGGGAGGAAGGGGAAGAGAGGGAAGGAGGTAGAAGGGGGAGGAGGGAAGGAAGGAGGTGGAAGGGAGGGAGGGAGGAGAGGGGAGGAAGAGGGAGGAGGGAGGAGGGTGAGAGAGGAGGAGGAGGGAGGAGGAGAAGGAGAGGGAGGAGAGAGGGAGGAAGAATGGAAGAGAAGAGAGGGAGGGAAGGAGGCGGGAAGGGAGGGAGAGGAGAAAAGGTGAAGTGGAAGAAAGGGAGAGAAAGCGGGCGGAGGGATGCAGGCAGGAGGCAACGGAGCGCCGGCACCCACCTCCGCCCACCTCTCCCCTCCCCCTTTCCCCACTCCTAGGCCGGGAGGAGAGTCCTTCCACCTCCCTATCCCCCTCTATCCCCCCTTCCCCTTCCCCCCTTCCCCTTTCCGCGAATAACACTCTCATTTACACGCTAACGACCCCGCACGCTCTCCCAATACCATTCCTATACCACTAGTTCCGTAGTTGCCCTTATACCAGATACCGGAAACCACGACCAACTTCTGCCATCCTTCTGCAACGCCGCACCGATCTTTAGGCCTTATTCTGCGCCTCATTCCATACTGCATAGGCCTATCTTTTATTACTGCTTGTACTACTCCTATTTAACCACCGAATCCTGTATTATGAATCCTATCTTTTACCTGCACGCACGCACGCACGCACGCACGCACGTACACACACAACACACAAACACACACACACACCACACACACACACACACACACACACACACACACGCACACACACACCACACACACACACACACACACACACACCACACACACACACACCACACACACACACCCCACACACACACACACACAACACACACACACACACCACAAACCACACACACCTACATACTCACACGCACACAAAGACGAAATCACAAGCCATTTTTCCCTCCCTCCACTTTACACTGCCCACCATACACTCCGCCAATTCTCTACCCCCCCACACCCCCATCCCTTCCAAGGACCCCCCCAAACTCCCCCCCCCCACTCTATTAAAAAAAAAGGGAAGAACAGGCTGGGCTTCGGGCTACAGCGTGAGGGGCGTAGGGCGAAGAGGTGGGAGTTGGAGGAGAAAATGCTGCAGGGGCAGAGGGGAAAATCAGAGTAGGACGTAAGGGCGGAAAAGGGAAAAGGGCAACAGTAAAGCAGTGGGAAAGGAAAGCAGAGAGAGGAGGAACCGGCCGAGAGGAACAGAGGGCGGGGGGGGTAGGGGAGGAAGGGAAACCGGAAGAGGCGGGAAAGAAACGGACGGCGTTGAGAAAGGTTCGATACAAGGGCGGCGGGGGGCGAAGGGAAAAGAAGAGAAAAATGGGAGGGGAACGTGGGAATGGGGAAAGGAAAAGAAGTAAGGGATGGCGCGAAAGCAGGAGGAAAGCAGAGGAGAAGGGGGACAAAGAAGGGGTAAGAAAGGGTAAAGCTGAAAAGCCAAGACGTGGTAGCCGCAAAGAAAAAACATTACGCAGAGGGAAAAGGCGCGAAGAGAGTGAAACGAGAGAAAGGCTGGAGGAAGGAGAGGGAAGGGATGCTGAGAAAGGACAAGAGGAGGAGAGAGAAGGGGAGAGGGACAGGAAGAAGGGATGGGCGAAAGGCCAGGAGCGAGGAGGGCAGGGGGAAGGCGAAGGGGAGAGCGACAAAGGAACAAGAGGGAAGGGGGCAGGGGACAGGAGGAAGGGAAGGATGAGCAGACAAGGAGGAAAGGGAAGAGGACCGAGGACAGGGGTGGAAGGGAGGGGATGAGCAGAGGGGGAGAGGACAAGGACAAGCAGGGAACGGCAAGCGGGATGATGGAGGGACAAGGAGTTGAGGGAGAAGGGACGAGAAGGAGAGAGAGGGCAAGGAGGAATAGGCGGAGAAAGCGGTGGAGGACGAGCGGAGGCAGAGAGAGCAAAGGAGATAAGGGCAAGGAGAGAAAGCAAAGGATGAAGGGAAAGGCGAAAGAGGACAAGCGAGAAGGGAAGGAGAGAGAGGGCAAGGGGAAGAGGAAAGCGGGAGAACAGAGAGGACAAGAGGGAGGGGAAGGGAGAATAGAGCGGCGGGGGAGTGGAGCGCGGAAGCAGGTCGGACGGTGAGGGGGAGAAATCCGCGAGGGGGAAATGAAAGCAGGGCAGGGCTTACTTGGCTCGCGGGAAATAAAGACAAAACGGAATGAACAAGAAAGAAAACATAAGAAACATTTATAAGCTGATAAGCGAGAAAGGAAGGAGGAAAAAAGAGGATGGGGGAGGCAGAAAGGAAAGGTGGAAGAGGAAGAGGCAGGATAAAAGAAAAAGTGGTGAAGAGGAAGAGCAGAGAGGAGGAGAGAAGGATAAAAGCAGAAGAGAGAAAAAAGGAAAAGAAGTGGGTGGGTATAGGAAAAGGGGAAAAAAAAAAAAAAAAAAAAACAAATCAGAATAAGGATAATACCCAAAAAAACAATACGATCCTCAGCATCAGCATCAAAAATCACCCCCATGACCATTAAGACCCCCCCGCTACAAAGACCACACTTACGAACAAACAAACACGAAAAGCAAGGGAAAGAAAGAAAACAAAATCCACAAGACAAGAGCAAACAGACCTCTTCCAATAACGTGAAAAAGGGACCCCCCGTTAAGGTCGGAACAGGAACCGGAAACGGACGCCTGTTTCGTTTTTTTTTTTTTTTTTTTTTTTTTTTTTTTTTTTTTTTTTTTTTTTTTTTCGGTGCAGCGGGGGGCACCATTCTGTATGGGTTATGGCGCTGGTGTTAAAGGAGCGTTGTCGCTCTCTGTCTTGTTCGCTTTGTATGTCTTCTGTCTGAATAAAACTGTTGTCTCTGTCGTTATCAAATCTATCTGTCTAGCAGGTCTGCTGTTATCAATCTATTCTGGTCTGTGTCTGTCTGGTACTCAATCTATCTGTCTTTGTATGTGCGTGTTATAAATCCAATCTATCGTCTATTGTGTGTCTGTCTGTTATCAATTCTATCTGTCTGTGTCCTGTGTCGTGTGTTTATCAACTCTATCTGTCCTGTGTCTGTCTGCTGTCTGTTATCAATCTATCTGTCATGTGTCTGTCTGTTATCAATCTATCTGTCTGTGTCTGTCTTTATCAATCTATCTGTCTGTGTCTGTCTGTTATCAATCGTATCTGTCTGTTTGTCTGTCTGTTATCAATCTATCTGTCTGTAGGCTTGGTCTTGTTATCAATCTATCTGTTCTGTGTCTGTCACCACCCGCTTCCAGTCTGTTCTTGTAATCCAATCTAATCCTTGTCATGTAGCTTCGTCTGTTATCAATCTATCTGTCTGTGTCTGTCTCGTTATCAAAATCTATCTTTCTGTGGTCTGTCTGTTATCAAAGTCTATCTGTCCGTGTCTGTCTGATTATCAGGTCTAGTCTGTCTGTGCGTCTGTCTGTTATTCAGTCATCTGTCTGTGTCTGTCTGTTATCAATCTATCTGTACCTGTGTCTGTCTTGTTATCAATCTAAATCTGTGTGTCTGTCTGTTATCAATCTATCATCTGTCTTCGTTTAGCGTCTGTTATCAAGTTCTAATCCTGTTTCTGTGTCTCTCGCTCTCTTATCAATCTATCCGTCTGTGTCTGTCTGTTTATCCAATCTAATCTGTCGTACTGCCTGTCTGTGATCCAATCATCTGTCTGTGTATGCTCTGTTATCAATCATATCGAAATGTTGTCTGTCCTGTTGATCAAAATCTATCTGTCTGTTGAAGCCGGTCAAATTATGTGTCTGTATTCAACAACCTCTATCTTCGTCGTCGTCCTGTCTGTTATCAAATCTATTCTGAATGTGTCTGTCTGTTATCAAATCTATCTGTCTGTATCTTGTTCTGTTATCAAATACTATCTGTCTTGTCTGCCTGTTTATGAATCTATCCGTCTGTGTCTCGTCTGCTTAGAACAATTATCCGTCTGTGTCGGGTCTCGTTTAATCAATACTACTGTCTGTGTCTGTCTGTTATCAATCCATCTGAATTGTCTGTCTGGTCTGTACTTGACACACCCTGCCTATCTGTGTGTCTGTCTGTCTGCAAATCATCTGCTTGCTACCATGTCGCACCAGCACATGCCAGCCTGCGATGGCAAACCTGCCCTTAGCCTCAGTCTGGCCAGCCAGCCTGCCTGCGCCATCTTAACCCCCCCCCACCTCCCTCACTCTCTCCACCTCTGCTCCACAGCGCCACTCAAACCTCACTCACCACTCTCTCTCTGCTTCTCTCTCTCTCTCTCTACTCTCTTCTCTCTCTTCTCTCTCTCTCTTCCTCTCTCTTTCTCTCTCTTTCTCTCTCTTTTCTCTCTCTTTCTCTCTCTCTCTCTCTCTCTCTCTCTTCTCTCTCTCTCTCTCTCTCTCTCTCTCTCTCTCTCTCTCTCTCTCTCTCTCTCTCTCTCTCTCTATCCTCTCTCTCCCTCTTCTCTCTCTCTCTCTCTCTGGGCGGCTCTCTCTCTTCTCTCCTCTCTCTCTTCTCTCTCTCTCTCTCTCTCGTTCAACTTCGCGGCAATAATTCCCGGCGAAGAACACTAAACATTGCCGAGGAGGAGAGGAGGGAAGGAAGGAGGAGGGGAAGGAGGCGAGGGAAAGGAAGGAGGGAGGGAGGGAGGAAGAGGGAGGAAAAGGGAGGGAGGGCGGAGAGGGGAGAGCGAGGGAGGGAGGAAAGGAGGAAGGGAGAGACGGAGAGGACGGGAGGGAGGGACGCGGCCGCCCAAGCGGGGGAGATCCTGAAAGCCTGGAGTTCCTGAAACAATGATTTCACTTCTCCCGCGAAGGCTGGCAGGAAGATGAAGAGGAAAGAGGAAGGGTGAAAGGAGAGAAGGGCAGAGGAGACACCGAGGGATTAAGGTAGGAGCAGGAGAGAGAAGAGAAAGGAAGAAGGGGATAATCTTAAGAGAAGAAGAGGAAGGAAGAGGAAGAGAGAGAAGAGATGCATGGTAATTCAGAGGGTTCGAGCTCCAATTTCTTTGTTAGTGGAGAGTCAAGGTTTTTGGCTCTAATCTTACCCGGGGTTCGGTTTCCAAAGCAGAAGATCGACGGATGAATAAATGCTCCTCAATATTAAGAAAAAAAATTGTCATTGGAAAATCCGATTGGGTGTAAGACCGACTCAGGAACGGAGGGAGAGGAAAAGAGGAGGGATAGCAGAACAGCCACCTAAATGCGAGGGAAAGAAGAGGGGATAGAGAGAGAGCGAAATGGAGGAGGAGGAGAGCGAGGAAGAGATGAGGAGGGAGAGGAGGAGGAGGAGCGAGGAAGAGAAGAAAAGAAGAAGATAGTAAAGGGACGAAAGTATCCTTTGCAAGAAACGTTCCGTGTATTTGGTGATAACCTCTCGGGAAAATGAGGGATGCATCCCGAGAGCCCCATTTCGATCCTCTATTAATACAGGCAACAACGCCTTGCCGAAGTTTCAGTCCGTCAACGCGAGTAATACCGAACCGGATTCTGCGAGAGTGATGGGTAAAGCCTAGGAGTGTGCGTAATAGTCTCCAGGGAGCGGCTGCGCGGGCAGGAAGGAATAGAGGGAGTTGAGAAAGCCGCCATTCTTTTGCGCCCCGTCATGATACGTCACAGGCAAGATTATGCGAGACTAGGCATATGCCATGCATACAGATGAGCA